TGGGTGACCCTGCTTGGGCAGGGGGTTGGGCTGGGTGACCCACAGAGGTCCCTTTCAACCCCGACCATTCTGTGATTCTGTGATCAGACACTGTGTGAGGTGCGATGCCTGTCCTGGCGTGCACATCCTGAAGTGTGATATAGCCGTAATAAATAACCCGATACTCTGCAGGTCTACTTTCATGCTAGAAAGCAGCATGTTTGTCTACAGAAAACATAGCTTGGACTGGTATTTTAAAGAGTTAATTTCAGCATGTGAAAATGTTGCTGCTTGACCCATCCATTAAATTCCAAGCAGTTAAGCAGTGCTTTGTGCCGTGCTGAGACCGGTGCTTCACTGTGCTGCCCACAGCTTGGCCCCGGGAATATCCTCCACCAAAGCCTGGTGACTTTCTTTCCTCTCAGCGTGCACTGAACTGAGCTTTCAGGTGTTTGTGCTTGACAGCCACAAGTGGTGTTTCCTTTCCTTTGCCAGATCTTCCCAAGATTTCAAAGAGGGGAGCACCCCTCGAGAGACAGGGCACGAGGGCACGTGGGCCTCGGATGAGTGTAAACCAGAGCTGGTCCAGGAAGGGTAAGTGGTCCGCAGGACTCGCTCGCAGCATCTATTCACTTCGTAATTCTTCATGTCTTATTCTGTTCCCAAAGTAACTGAGACCACAGAACAGCCCCTCCACTTTGCTCCCAGGAGCGAGGACTTTATAATGGCACGTTACAGCAGGCGAGCCCGCCCGTGCTGATGGGAAAAGCCAGCTGGATGCGATATACTCGCACGCTGTGTGGAGTCCAAGAGACAGTTTCTGCACTGGCAGCATGTGACATAGCTCCTTTGGCACCAGCATGGTTCCCTTGGTGCTGCAGTGGCAGGCAGTAGCATCTGCTGCCCGAGGATCGGAGCAAGTACTATCCAAGTATTTATGAATGCTGAAAAATCACGTGTGAGTGTGTCCAGAGGTGTCAGAAGCATCTGTCAGTCCAAGGCATTCTGACACAAGTGCTTTCTACTGTGCCTAAAGTTTTCCTTCCATGACAATCTCAGATGAATGGCCTTTAGCTGTGGTCCTGCAAACTGGAATGGGATTTGTACGCGTGATTCCGATCAGATCTGGTACCAGGGCAGTCTGGAATACCTCTGGCCAAACAGTGTCTCCTGCTCCCTGCCTGATGGCTCCTGCCTGGGGAATGGATGTCTGCTCACCCAGCATGTCCAGTGCCTTAAGCACAGATCTTTGTTTTAGGTTTTTGGACTCAAACAGCCATGCTGAGAAGGGACAAGACCCTCCTGACCACCATGTCCACCCAGAGCCTCCCAGGTCGAGGGAATGTACTGAACACGAACCCAGCATGACCAGGTAAGGAATCAGATAATTACCCCCTTGCCTTTTCCTCTTGGATGAGGGTTAATTCCTTGCGTGTCTTCCCCCACCTACGGATGCTGATAAAATCTCCTGGGCTCCCCTTTTGTGCCTGATTCTGGTGCTACTCCTGCTGAGTGAACCTGCTACCATGGTTTTATATGAAAGCCTGGGAGAAAACATCCTCATTAGCTGGAGGCACCAAACACCGTCCAGCTGGACGCTGCCAGGACCTTAAATTTGGAAGCAGAGACTGCCTCTAGAGACATGTGCCAACAAGCAACCAACTCTGGTGTAGGGTCACACCTCCACAGTAGCGCTGGGTCTCGTTTCCGAACTTACCCAGTCAGTGCCAGCTCTCAGGCTGTACTCTGGCCTCCCTGGCACAGGGCCACTCTCCTTCCCGCTGACCTGTGACTCCACTGGGTTTGCGGTGGCTGTCTCGGTGCCTTCAGCCTGCCTCGGGCAAAACAGTGCAGGGCTACATGTCCGAACGGAAGGACTTTGTGGACTGATTTCTTGGCTTTTGTCCATATTTTGCCCCTGAATTTGAAGAGTTGAGGCTCTTGGTCAAATGGGGCTTCCTCATGCGTGTGTTTCAGTGAGCAGCCCATCTTCAAATCAACTTGTAAACCAGACTGCTCTTCTCCCCCAGGTCCATGCCATGCTCCAGGGACAGCACTGGTGGGAGCGTGGACATTAGCAAGGGGATATCGCCCTGTGTGCAGAGTGAAGAAGTCACTTCAAGAAGGTAAGAGAAATAATGGGCTTGCTTTTTCTGATGAGAGAACATGGGGAATTTACTGCAGGTGGTCCTGGAGAAGGGACTGAGGATGCTGTGTCTCCGCTCAGGAGTCACCAAGCTGGGCTTTCTGCATGAGTGCACGGAGATACATAGTGCATGGTGGGACAGCAGAGTGTGTGGTTAGTGAGGACTGTGGAGGAGGGAGCTCAGGAAGGGGCACCGGGAAAAGCACCAGGGAGAGAGCAGTGGTGTCAGTGTCCTGTCCTCCTGGGTTCTTCTGACAAATGGAGCTGTCCTGGATGTACAACAAATACTCTGATTTGTAGCACTTCATCATGCAAGGAGGTAGAAGGAGCTCTTCCCAGTCCTGAAGAATGTGAGTGGAAGTTCCAAACGGTGAAAAACAGACAAAAGTTAGCGATAAGACTTCCGCTTTCTCTCCAGTACCTCCCACCAAAGTCACCAAGACGAATAAAACTCTCATCTCTTGCCCGCTCCATGCCTCCCCCAGTCCACGAACTTCCTTTGGGTGAGCCCTCAGGCTTACCAAGTCACCCAGAGAAATGCAGAGTCCTGAGCTGAGCGTCTTCATGCTTCCAGGTGCAGTGGGTTTGGATCAGACTTGCCAAGGGAGCAGTCAGGAGTGCTTCTGCAGCATCACTCCACTGAAGGACTTGGGAGGTGCCTCCTGCTCTTCTCACTAAATTGATTTTGAGCCTGAGCTCCTGGACAAACATGTCTTCTTTCGGCACTTAGAGCATCCCAGCCCAAGTGGGAATCTATAGCTCAGTGACCGTTAGTGTTTTGCCAGAATTTAAGGTATCTACCTTTGTTGCAAGGGAATCAGAATAAATTGATCTTGCTTTCACTTGGGTGACCGCACCAGTCGTTTTCTGGCTTACCGCCTTAGTGAACCCCCGTAGTGAAGGGTAGCCCTCAACTATCAGCAGGTAAAGTGTAAGGACTGCCTCCTCTTTCATCAACCTGAATGTTTCAGGGCAGGATCTTTGACAGCATTTTGAGAATGAATTTCTTAGACTCTAATTACATGCAGTGTTGATGCAGGAGTCCAGGCCAGTTTCAGATTTTCCATGGGGTATCAGTATTCCCAGAGGGGCTGGCGTGCGCAAACATAGAAAACCAGACAGAAAAAGTGAACAAACTTCTCCCTAGATGGATGTAGACGGCTGTAGATCCAGGGTGGCTCTGCAGAGGGTTTCTCTAGTGGATACACTTCTGAGGCTGTACCCAGATGAGGCCAGCTCATGCTCTTAGTCTGAAATGTAATGTAGAGGTACTGGATAACCCATAATGGTCATAACTAAATGACCAGGGTTCAAATGTCAGCTTTGGAAAGAGTAAACAGGTAACTGATGCTCATCAGGACCTTTAGTTTCCTTTCCTTTCAGCCTTATTTTTGCAGAGATCTGTATTTTCTCTCTGTTTTTTTTTTCTTTCACTTCTCTTTGGATTATCTGACCTATTCCCGTGCAGGGATATTGCACTTTTCTTGAGGCAGGAGATTCAGAAACTCCAGAGACCCAATGTGCGAATGCATCTGACTCAGGGCAGGAAAGGTAGGGAGCCTGGGGGCCAGGCCGCTGTCTCGCACATCTTGTGTTCTCCCTGTTGCCCCGTTCGAAGGCATTACGGATGCTTGTTTCTTGGCTAGTGGCTGCTGAAACCAACATAATCACAATATTACTGCGTTTACTCGCCACAGTGGACAGGTTTAGACACAAGGGCTAAAGCTGCTGACAGGCTTTTTCCTCCCTGACCAGGATGACTTCAGCTTCTGAAGAACAAACCTGCCCCACCACAGAGAGTCACTGTGAGAGCCCAGGAGACTGGAGACACGACGAGCCTTGCCCAGCGGCAGCCAGGTATATGGGACTATCCCTTTGTTTCTCGCATCAGTGGCTCTCAAATCCTCACCCTTGCCGTTCCTGCTTCTTGATACAACCCTAGCTGAAGTCCTGGATTTATGTCAATTCACCCAGTGTACACTAATCAAGTGATACTGACAAAAGGAAAGTCAGGTTTAGGATTCCACCCGCATATGATTGTTCGTATTTAATGTCAGTTATCAAATTAACTTAGACGACTGCTGAATCTTGCAGCATTTCACTGTGCTGGCAATTCAGCTCGTGTAGGGGAGGGGGAGTAGTGCTGATCTCTGCCGTGCCCCGTGATCTTAAGAACCTGCTGTGTAGCAAACACAGTCTTTATGGTCAAATGGGCTCTAATTCTTCAGCAGGTCCAACTTCAGCTCAAAGGAGAGTGCTCGCAGTGCGTATGAGACCCAGCACCCCATGCCGCTGTACATGGACCGCCAGCCCTTCAACCCCAGCGTGTCAGCACCCAGTCACAGGATACCGTCCTATGCAGACAGCCAGGTGTTCGGCACCAGAAGGTGAGGGCTCAGGGGTGGGATGCAGAGGCAGGGAGAGCTGCTGGCACAGAAATGTTTGACAGAAACTCTGGTCCAGGTTGTACAGTGACTGCATCAAGAAGCGAGAATGGGATTTTGTTCCCAGAGGGACCAACGGTATTGCCAGGTCTCAAAACATGTGGCCGAAGATCATTTTTGGACCTGAAGGGCTGAAGAAGGGATTCAGGAGATCTGAGCTGATAATTGCTCTGTAACGCTGGGGAGTTCGTGGCGGGCTGTATTCAGATCACCTACACAGCGCCTGGAAACCCGACAGATGTGTAGGGACCACATCTGCTTCTCCTCTGTAACTGCAGAGATGATGACGATTCAAGAGCAGTCTGGGTTTTATTTCTTATGATTATCAATAATGTAAGAGACAAGTTGTACACTTATAACTACTCTTTATATATATGTATATATATAAATGTATCTACATTCATGTGATCTGAAGGTAGCCTTCACCTCTTTTAGCATTTTCCGGAAAATTGGTGTCACAAAGCTCTCATTTGCTTTTGGAGGCATTTGCAGGTTAGGACTAGAAAAACCAGGACAGACCTTCATTGTACTTCGTAGCCTGTTCTCACCCCTCCAGCACTGCGTGATGCTGATGTGTCGCCCTGCAGCGCACGAAGCTCGCGCTTCATTCCTGCCCTGGGCTTTGTATCGTAGACCAAATGCACGTCTTGCCCAGAGCAGGGGTTTTCTCATCTTACGACGAGCTTAGCCTGCCCCTCTTTCTCTCCTTAATGCAGCGTTGATTTGCGGTGGTTTTCAGCATTGTTTGACATGAAGTTATACAGCTGCCTGAAGCTTTAATCAGGATCAAAGTGCTGATATACAATATAAACATAATCTGTGCCCCAGGGCACTTGCAAGAAAAGAATGACCATAAGCTATAAGCTCGTTTTCTCTATTGAAAGAGGCTGAGCTCTGCCCACAGGTTAAAGCCGTTCTGATGATGAGTTCTGTCCTGGAAAAGTGGAACTGTGCAGGTCTGGCCCCCAACCGGGCCAGCTGGTCAGCAGGTCACACGTGCAGATGGTGCAGTGGTGGTTTTGGCGAGTGCTGGGGAAGGAAACGGTATGGAGATATATCCATTTATGAACTGCTGCAGCTTTGCTCTCAAGTGTTAGATTTTGAGTCTGCTTTCCTAGCCTCAGAGCTTCGTGTGCATGCTGCAGCCGCAGGAGCAGCGCAGGTGAAATGGGCAGGGCGAAGGGAGAATGTGTCCTGATGGTGACTGCTGAGACAGAACATCAGTTGGCCAGCGCGGGGCCTCCAGTGACTCCTGGCACAACGTAACCAGGGCTTTGTGCTTCCTTGCCAGACCTACCCCAGATTACGAAGGGAGAGGTTATGACGGGAGAAGCAGCCCTAGGAACAGCAGATACGACAGCGCCAGTGCCAGAGGGCACTGTGAATTTAACCCCACAGCTGGACGGTAAGAAGGCAAAGGGAATCCAGACTTGTGAACCCAAAGAATACCCCACTGCTACATTTAGTAGCTTATTCAGGAGCGTCCTGACCCACTTCTTGCTAATTGCCTGGGTCCAAGCGTGTGCAGCGAGGTGCTGTTTGCGTGGATGGCTGTGATGCGTGGGTGATTTTGCTGCTAAGCAGGGAGACGTTTAGCCAAGATTCTCCCTGCTCATGAGAATCCCTCCCATGCTCAAGTTCAGTGCTTGAGATTGTATCGCTTCCTTTCATAGCCACGACTCCCTTCCCAGAGATCCCACCATGTCCACTTGGCAGAGAAGCCACAGGGTGCCGTTCTACATGGACAGCTTAAACTATAGCAGCACCAGGTAAATGGGTAGTCTGGATGGCTGTGAGGGAAACCCTTCACAAAGCTGCTGCGGAAGAGGAGCTAGGAAGCAAAGCCAGGAGCTGAAAGGGAGAGGAATGGTTTCTGGGGAGTGGATGTGTGATCTAGAGGCACCGAACCACTCTCAAACTGTTGCTAGCGAAAGCTATGCAGCACAGGGTCTGCAATATGCCCGTCTCTGGAGATGTTCCACCATGTGGGGTGCAAGAATAGAGTGACACGAGAATCACAGAATCACAGAATGTTCGGGGTTGGCAGGGACCTCTGTGGGTCACCCAGCCCAACCCCCTGCCCAAGCAGGGTCACCCAGAGCAGGCTGCACAGCACCGCGTCCAGGTGGGTCTGGAATATCTCCAGAGAAGGAGACTCCACAGAATGAAGGGCTGGTTCCTGGCTACCCTCCCGTGACCAGCAATCAGCCTTTGCAGAGGCTACAGAAAAAAAAGACAGCTAAAAGCAAAGAGAGATAGCGAGAGAGAGATGATCATAGAATCCTAGAGTGGTTTGGGTTGGGAGGGACCTGAAAGCCCATCTGGTTCCGATCCCCCTGCCAGGAGCAGGGACATCTCCCACCAGCCCAGGGTGCTCCGAGCCCCATCCAACCTGGCCTTGAACCCTGCCAGGGAGGGGGCAGTCACAGCTTCTCTGGGCAGCCTGGGCCAGGGCCTCAC